TGGCCCATTAGTTCCAGGACAGTGGATTGCAGACAGGGGGATATGTTCTCTTTGTAGCTGCTTAGTATGCATGCGCAGGAAAAAGATTAATGCAAAATGTTGTCAAAAGAAAAGTGATAAGACAGAGCAATGAAATTTGAAGTCTAATTCCAAGAAAGCAAAGAAAATTGCATTATGGCTTCATGAAAATATTCATGCCACATAAGCAACAGACAGACAGGATTTTTAATTATTGTATTACTGCGTTCTGGATTCTAATGTCCACTATATATGAAAAGTTTTATAAAACTGTGATAATTTCCATATTGTCAGTTACGCTAGCTGTTGATTAAAAATCAGGAATTATAACAGCATAACTATTTTTGGAGTCTGGAATTTCCAGCCAAGGTTGCGGAGATACAGAGACATGTAAACATTCCAAGGAATTGAGAAGTCGTTGTTTTATATTCTAAATTATGAACAACATTATTACATACAGCCATAAAGAGAAAGACATGGCTTTTAAATACATTCAGTGCAGTACAATGCAGTACACTGCAGCATGTATTTTATATAATATATGCTAACTAGCTCATATTTTTCCTAAACAGAGTTGAAAGTATACTACCCTGATAGAAAAAAGGGCAACAGATGGTTATACATCCTTTGCTTCTCTAAATGCTCTGCAAAAATAAATATTGATGAAATGATTAAAAATAATATATATGTAAGATAAATCAGGGCTAAATAAAATGGTAACTATACCGGATCTCTGATAACTTTTAAACTGAAATTATTAAAGGCTTATTTAAATAAAATGTTAAATACATTTGCAGCTTTAAATGTGACCAAAAGATACTAAATGATGTGTTAAGCAGCAAGCCCAATTCACTAGAATAGCATAAGTATTCTATTTAAAGTGCACAATTCCTGCACATAATGACTTTGCTTACTCAGGTACAGTATTTAGTCTATTGCAATGGCAGGATTAAAGTCCACCAATTTTAAAAGGGAAAGCTTACTTAAATCAGTGGTACTATCCCACCGTACTAGCAGTAAGGAAATTAGAACAATTATATTGTACTACTGACTGTAATCAGATCAGACACATGTAATCTCTGTGAATTTCATAAACTAGGTTTTCATAAAATAAGATTAAATATCAAAGTTGTTTATATATCAATATATCAATGTTGTTTATAAATAAAAGTATATAGACTAGGCAATAACAGCATTTACATGCATTTAGCAGCCTGCTCTCTCAGAGCCAGAAACGGATTTATAAAAAAAAAAAATTAGGTTTTAAAAAGTCTACAGTCAACCACACATGCAGGGTGAAATAATTGCTTATTTAAAAGCTATATGCTGCCGCAATTATGTATATAAATGCAGATTAGGGCACAGTGTAGAAATAAAAATACAGTTTTAAATCTCATATATGGGGATTCAGTTCCACCACATATTCTACAATTCTGAAAGAGGCTAATTTTAATAATATGTTGTAATAGCATTGTGAATATATATACTGCAAAATTAATTTGATATTGCAAAGCCTGCAATATTCTAAACAGACATTAAAATTTAAGAAAAAAAAGAAAGATAATAATGCATCAAGAGTAATGCATAAAAAAAGTGATAATACTCTGATATATTAAATCACATTGCATATCACATATCTGCTATATGAAAAGTATAATTAAGGTAACTTTACTGTCCAAAGCCCCCTCACATCTATTTTATAGAATCTATACTTTTCAGTGGTCACCTCCAAAGAAGCCTCGGAAACTGGGGGGCTCAGAGGGGTGCTCATCCCAAAAGGAATCAGATTCCAGACTTAAATTTTTTTTTAAAATAAATAAATAAATGATAGAAAACGAATCACGGGAATATTCAAAACATGCATTTTTGTATATAATCTTAATTTGCAGACATTTTATGCCTTAGAGACATATAAATGATATTTAATTAAATATGCAGGTATCTTTAAATATTAGGCAATGTTAAAATAAATAATTAATAATAATAAAAATATATATATATATATATTTTTTACCACAATATAAACAGCTTTGTTAAACAGATTCAAGTACAAGTACTTATGACAAGAAATATACAGAATCCGTTTACAACAGGCAGGTTTAGCATAAATGCAAAGTTGTTGTTTTGGGGGATTTATTATTGCCCAAGAAATCTCTGAATATATTCAGAATTTTTTAGAGCAGCAAGTAAGACAGCAGATTGCAATGGACACCATTACAATATTGCTTTACCGATTGAGGTCAGAGCTTTAAAGAATAAATAAATAAATGTTCTATAGTTCGCTAGACCACTGGCTTTTAATGAACAGTTTGCACGACACTTATAAAATAGTTTGTTATACTGCACATTATAGCTGTGACAACATAATATTTATTTATTTATTTATTTATAAAATATTTTACCAGGAAAGATACATTGAGATTTCTCTCGTATTCAAGTATGTCCTGGGTCCACAAAGCTATGTCACTGTTTAATAGACTTACCCAGTATTTAAGGACGACATGTTTCTTGCAAAGTCATCGGGACTTTGAGGGAGGTTCTAACTACGTTTAATTAATTAATTAACTTACCAAAGAAAAAGAAAAAAGAAGAGGTTTTGTTTTTCTCCTGCAAGTGAATTTTCAGCGTAAGGTCAATTTGTGTTCACAGACTATTCGGTTTTTTAAAAAAGCTGTTCTTTATCTCACATTATGAACGGCCTTGTAATTCCTATGCACACTAAAAGTTGGCTTTTAAATGTTATTGTTTTAACTTTAATATTTCATAGTTAATACGGAGGATAAAGAAAGTACATTGAAAGTATATTACTTGATAGGATTTCATTTGTATATTTTGATCCACTGTTCACTGATCTCAAATCTCAGTCTGGTGTTCAAACAGTTTTTTTTTAAGATACATCGTGAGTTTATATCCACAACTGCATTTTGCTTTGTGGAAACAAATTGAAAGCCTGGCATTGTAATACGTGTATGGACATGCTTATAACAAAGCATGGGCCCTCTCCTCATGTAGTTGGTCATTAACAGGCACTTTGATGCAATGTGTCTACCAACGCTTTTCTGTGGTCACTGGATCACATCGCATACCCTATCTCTCAGTCATGATGCAGAGTTTATGCTTGCAAGGATATCCAGACCTTATCCACCTGGTATCCGCATAAATACTCCTATCGTTTAGAGGGGTTAATTACATAATAACCATTGAAGGTAATATGTTGGTTGTTCTTCCTATAGAGGAAAGATAGACTTGCCCTAAAAGCTTTTTCATGGCTAGGACAAGCTCTTATAGAGAGAGGTAATGTACTTCTGACTCCTGAAAAGGAATATTGGTGGTCCAATATGGGAAATACTGTAATTCATGTGTTAAGAAATTATAAGCATTTGCTTATTGCCACATTACTGATGTACTGTTTATTGAAATATTAATATCTAACGTACTTTTTGGATTACTATATATTGGAAGTTTGCCAACATCTCATGGTTATAAGTATGTTTTTGTATGTGTTGATGCATGTACCAGGTTTACTTGGATATATCCTGTGCGAAGTGCAACCTCTGATGCCACGTTTTCTAGTCTCACTTCCTTAGTATGCATTTGATAATTCCAGGACCATCCATTTGGATGGTGGTCCTGCACTTACTGCAAAGGTAACCTAAAACTGGGCAACCACATTTGGGTTACTTTGGGATTTCAGTGCCCCAACCACCCCCAAAGAAGTGGGGTTGTGGTCTGGGAGAATGCTGATGTTAAATGATTATTAACCAAGTTACTAGTTGCTTGCCCACACAGTGGTATCTATTTATTCCCATGGTACAGATGAGCATTCACAACATACCTGATGATACAAATGGTGAGACACCATATGAAATGTTACATGTTTTTTCACTGACAATTATATTTCTGCACCAGGGAGAGCTTAGAACCATTGGTTCTATTAGAGAAATTTAGGGGAATTTTCTTTTCCAGTCCACCTCACCATGCACCACCAACTTTTTCTTACTGTTGGCCAGTTTGTCCTGGAGAGGGTGACTCAGATAACTTTTACTACAGAGAACAATCAGAGCCAACAGAGAACAGTAAGTTTTGATATCTTACAACCTGCTAAATACGTTCACAGAACCACTGACTGATACAATGGATGCTGTTAAAGATGACAAGATAAAACAAACAGAGGATGACAGAAATGACACCAGAACACAGCCACCAGAATCATAGCCACGTAACAGACTGAATCATGATCTGACATCTGAACCTGCAAATGTGAAGGAGAAGGATGAACAGACAGACGTGATACATTCACAGTTAACATGGAATGTATGAAAATTAATCATCAACATCATTATGAGAAAGACTCTGGAGAAAACAGACTGAACCTGAATTATCTTATACAGTAAGAAAGAAATGCAAAGATGGAAGCAAAAGGATGCTAGAAAATTGGTTATGGTGTCTCCTTCTTACAATCTGCAGCATTATCATAACATCAACCCTAGCTGTCGTTTTAAAACTGCATTGGGATTATGTTAACAAGCAGGACTATATAACACACTATACAAGTTCTTTTGATCGTGAGGACTACCTCCAAGAACTATCTCATAAGGAGAGACACAGCTCACAGTGAAATGACTGCCTATACTGGTATTTCACAAGGAACCTATTGAGATTATTCCAAAAACCGATTATAAGTGAGAAAGATTGAACTATTTCAAATCCTAATAATGGACTCAAAGCATGCTGAAAACAGGAAAAGACAGGACAGATGCTAGTGAAAGACTTTGGATGCACCTATGAATGTGATGCAAGAAAAGACTTTGCCATATAGTTTATCATTGAGTGACTAGCGCAAACAGCCTTCTTATGCTGAAAAGAAGTGCTATGCTAATTCTGGACATTGCTATTATGTTTCCAAACAGATGATAACCAGAAAAAGAAATAAAGTCTGATAACTGTCAACAACCAGCTATTTCTTAAGATGGAACATGGTACTGAGAAAACCTGATTGACTGTCAAAGCACCTCACAGTACAAGACACAGATTGTTGCCTACAACTCAGAAAAAGTGGTTAATAGGAAGGAGCAGAAGAAGAGGAAAATAGATTTCCTACTGGAGTGAAAAACCATCCTGGAACAATATTCTGGAACAATGAACTTTACAATGACATTTGGTGGCATATGAATTTGAATTCGGTAGAAACACATTAATTAACGAAAGAAACCTTGATGCAATTAATAAATAATAACAAGACCGGCTTACTAAGAGCAGATGCCCTGCCAAGAGAATGGAATATAAAAAGACCAGCAAAATCTTTCAGAAACCTGATATCATGGGACACTTGTACTAAAGCACGATTTGCAGCTTTTCTTAAACTCTACATATTATGTACATACCTGCAAAGCAAGGACCTCCTGTAAACAAACACAGAGACATTAATACAACAAAGAATCTGTAATGGTTCTGTTGCAGATGTGATCTACCGATGTACTCCTTGCTCTTTTGGTATAACTATACCAATCAAAACATTAAATGGCTCCATAGAATCAAACGACAAAGCATTCTTGCTATATTCTGGACTTCAAGGAATGTGGTGCATGTACCGAAAATTATAATTACTAAAATAATCATGCTACTTTTTTCTCTGTATCAGAAATGTGTCAGTGACAATGTGTAATATAATACAGATACTATAATTAATGGTATAAAATAAACACATAATGTGTTAATTACAAAGGTGGATAGACTTTGGAATATCTGAAATGTAATTGAAGATTATTGATAAAATGCCATATGCAGCTGCAGTCTGGCCTACAAACAAATATATTAGACATAAAGTATAAGAGCATAACAGCTAATTACCCAGATGAATAATGGAATCATGATAGTTAAAGATCATATGATTGCAATAACAACTGCAATAATGAATAATGTTTAAACTTTAGAAGAAAATAAAATGTTTTTATTAAATCAGAAACTATTCTATATTCGTTTAAGTTTGCCGTGTGGTATAATTAATTAATATAAGTGAAGCACTTCAACAGTTAAAATGTAACTGAAAGACAGGCAGAAACTTTACTTTACTTATCACAAACCTATATTTATAATGATAAAAATATTCAGTCTGACAGAGATAAGGCCAGTCAATGCAAAGTAAAAGAGTATTAGGGATTAACCTGTCCAGGTGATATACATGATTATTTTGGAAATTGATCATTTAGGTCACCTATTGCAAACTGGTGAAAAGATGTCAAAAATATAAATTCAACATCCATACCACTCTATGTATATATATTAAAATACACGTAATCAAATATTTTATCAGTTTTTCAAATACCAAGAAAATGTTATTTGGTTTGTGATGATTTAAGGTACATATACCTTGTGGTAATGATCCTGCCACATCTATTGATTGTTTAATCAATATACCATGCATATGATTATTAATTCTTATTCTGATTGTAAGATACCCCACTCCAACCAGTTATAGTTACAACAGATTCTGATATCTATTGTTATGGAAGTGTTTAAACCACTTATACAAAGGTAGAGCTAAAATATAAATACCTTCAATATTTATCTGAGTGCTTTCTTAACTCACTTTTAGAAATAATAAAAAATTCTAATCATCTTAAGCTAAACCCAACAGCCACTGAAAAATATACTTAAACAATTAAGATTCTCATTGTTAAGCAACCAATCTCACGTACGTAACTTTCCACAATGGCTGTCAGATCTTGGTTAAAAAAAAATGTTTTCTAAGACAATATTTGGGGGTTTCTGGTATTTTAAGCCACTAATAACTGTAGTTATTATATTTACTAATAATAACTAGGGAATAAGTTGTCTTCTCCCTAACAGGTCAAAGAAAGATAATTAACATCATATTTCCAATTAGCAACTATTCTAAATAGATTGAGAGATTTTGAATAAAGGAGTATTTTTTACATTTAACCCCTTAAGGACACATGACATGTGTGACATGTCATGATTCCCTTTTATTCCAGAAGTTTGGTCCTTAAGGGGTTAAAGAGAATGTAATTTTACATACAATTGTGAACAAAGACGGTAAATACTTTGCTGCTTCAAATTATTTTTATATCTCTAAATCATATACAATGGTTTTTATCTTTAATACAAAACACTAGAAAGATTAACTATGTTACTATTTCATCTATCATTATTATACAAAGTATAACAAATGTAAAGATTTTTTCACAGATTTTACCTGTTAACATTTTTAGCACAACAGCACCTGATGTCAGTGAGATGTCTATCACTGAGATGTTACAAAGATTCCAATACAGCAAAAAGAGGCGATCTTGAGAATCCACTTTGATTGCTTTATCAACATAACATTTACTATAATGGGATCCATGTCACTTAAGACAATGTCTTGGAAATTATGTCAATTAATTGATTCCGTAAAAGAATATCGGAGAGTATCCAATCTATACACATCATAAACGGTGTAAAAATGTTTCATGGAAAAAACAAAATAAAAAAAGACAAAGACAAATACCAACACCATCACCACGGTGATAACAGATGATGCTGATTCAATATCTGCGACCAATTCTAGCCAAATATTTGGAAAGCTGGACTCTACAACCAATACTATACAACATATACCCGGGTATTCTACAAACACAACCTCCATCAATGTATCTAGGGAATGTAAACTTCTACAGGCCTTTAAAGACTTTGGATTACAAATACAATTACTACTTTTAACTTTGGATTACAATTCGTATCCAGATCTATCCAGGAATATCTTACTCTGGAACCTGGTGTTCTTTTCAATTCTTTCCCAGACAAAAGCTTTGCTCATTTTAATCAACCACCTTTACAGGCAAAGATCACACTACGGATATTTTACTGTTACAACAATGATCAAAGATGTTGGGAGCACAAAAAACCTAAAGACTGTTGGAAAACTTTGGTTTACTAATTTAAGGAAGAAATGCGCTACAATGCCCACAGTTTAATGGAGAGGGTATTATGGGCAAATGCAAATAATACATGTTTTAGAATGAAATGTTGTATTTCTTAAACTGTGTACTTTGTCTTTTAGAGATATTGCAAACTGACAAGGTGCTAGAAATGGAACATATTATTTTTCATAACTGTTTCTTTAAGCAATAACCTCAGTGCATAATATGTTTGCGCCATTTTGTCCCAGATAAATTACAATAACAATAATGCATAAACAAGCTTCAAGGCTATACTACGACACTTGCAGTACACAATATACTGTGGTAACCCCAAGTTAATGGAACTTCCCCAAATCCGGGAATCTCCCACGACTGTACACTTACGACTTATTATAAACAACAGATAACCTATTCAGACTTTAAGACTCCATTTGAGGTTTCTCATTGAGCATGGCGATTTAAAGGATCTCATTATCATCATTTCCATTACCTCCTGAATATTACAGGAGTAAGTGTGTGTTTTTATTTCTAAGTGCTCCACCTTTGCACTGTTTTTTGCATGTATTTGCATGATAGTGTTTTTCTCCTATACATTTGATTGTAAGTAGGTTGAAGAGTTCCTACTTTTTGGTGTGTAAGCTGCTATTACTACATTGTGTATTGTATTATATTCACATTTTCTAAGCGCCTTTTACACAGTATATTCACTTTTTATTATAAACAACAGATAACCTATTCAGACTTTAAGATGCCATCTTGAACTAAGTCAGGAAAATTTCCATGAGGTATACACCCTTTAGTTATGGCCTTGTATGTTTGCCAAATTAAGGGAGGTCCTAAAATGAATAAAGTAAAAGAAGTGTTACTTTTTAATATAATAAATATGAACTACGGTAACCTTAAAATGGAGACACCTAAGGTATAAATAGGTGTACTTTTAAATGTTAAGACACAGAGGAGAGACTTGGAGACAGACGCTGCTCCATCTTAAAATGACAGAGAGGCTGACATGATGACATGTTCAGAAGGGTATGTTAACCTATTAATGATATTTGCAAGCATGTAATTTAATCTTATAAACTCTGCTATAATGGATTTTATATTTTTATATAATAAATATCCAAAAGACAAAACGATTGCTTCCAAGACAATCCTTATTTTATATTGTATTCTCAATTATTTATATATGTTAAATAGAGGATCTCTTACACTATATAAAATTATGGCTAAGATATCTGTATGGTTAGCCCTACTAAGTTCTATGCTTTAAGACATTGTAGTGGTAAATAAGGGAACCACATGCGGTTACAGGTTGTTGGGGGAAGCAAGGACTCCTTCCTGCTTCCCCTGCAGCAGTTACACGGCATTTATAGCTCCACCACCGCCGGCCAGTAAGCCCCGCCCCAGTCGCATGGTAAGCTCTGCCCCTGCCGCAATTTTTATTTATTTTTTTCCAGCCGGCCATGTGTGAGCTGTGTCGGCCGCACGGCACCCCTGCTCCATGGCGCCCTGTACGGCCGCACAGCTCGCACACCCCTAAGGCTGGTCCTGCATATATTCACATAAAATAAAAATATCAGTATATAATCACATCAAATAAAGATCATATATCTATCGCTTGAAATACCTTCTAAAAAAAAAAATAAGAAAAAAACACTTAAAACCTCATGATGAAAAATTTACAAATTCCAGCAAACCCTCCAATGCTGAAAATCAACTAAACAAAAAAACAAAAAAAAAATGTTACAGAGAGATATTTACAAGAAATGACAAACTTCAAATTCTCCATTTAAACCCCTAGGGGACAGCAATTTCAATTTAAACACCCACCTCATCTCTTGCCTCGCTAATTTGTTATCCAAGTTTTCACCCCTCCAATTCCTGCTTACTCTTTCTATTCCAATGAACTGCAGTTTAATAACATCCCCCTGATGTTTATGGATAAAATGTGAGGATAGAGGATGTTTCTTGAATCCCCTTTTGATGTACATGCCCTCTTGTTTGAGGCTGATTTTAACCCCTTAAGGACACAACTTCTGCAATAAAAGGGAATCATGACAGAATATTTCCGTCTTGTGTCTTTAAGGGGTTAACTAAATGGTACTTAATACTATTATAGAGGTATCCCTCTATAAATGATCCTTGGTCTTTTTGGGACTATCTGCTGTAGTAGAGGGTCTTCCTTTAGAATAAACCAGTACTTATTGATAATGTTCTTTAATTCTCTATTTTTCCCTGAATAGTTAAAAATCAAGGAAACCTCATCACTCTTATTTTTATTTCCTTTATCCCTCTTCCTCCTGTTGGAATTCTCCAAAAGATCTTTCCTATCTACATTCTCTATCTCCTTGTAGGCTTTATCCAATAGAGTCTTTGGATAGTGTTTGGCTGTGATTTGATCCATTAACTTATGTATTTGGGTCTCACAAGTCTCCATATTAGTACAGTTTCTTTTCAACCTTAACATTTGTCCTTTGGGGATGTTATCCAACCAGGGACCGTAGTGATAGCTGTCGTAAAAAATAAAACTATTAACATCTACCTTCTTAAAGAAGGTCTCGGTACAAATCCTGTGGTTGGAAATAAAGATACGTAAATCCAAAAAGTTAACTTGGCTGTCACTATGGTCCATGGTGAGCCGAATTCCTCATGAGTTGGAATTGAGGCACGACAAAAACAGAGCAAGCTCTTCTCTAGAGCCCCTCCAAATCCAAAATAAATCATCAATGTAACGGCAATAGGTGACCAGGTTCCGCACCCAGCTATGGTCCCCATATATAAAGGATTCCTCCCAATGTGACATAAATAAATTTGCATAGCTGCGTGCAAACCTAGTCCCCATCGCCGTTCCTAGAGTCTGCATGTAAAAAGAATCTAAAAAATGAAAATAATTATTGGTCAAAATAAGGTGGATGTCTTCTGTAATGAAGGTTTGATGATTCGAAGATAGGTTGGAAGAGGACAAGAAAAATTTGACAGCTTCCATACCCCTTCGATGTGGAATGATCGAATAAAGGGATGAGACATTCGCAGTGACAAGGATGTCTCCATCCATCCACTCCACCTTCTCCAACATCTGGAGAATCTGGCTAGTGTCCCTCAAATATGCCTCAGTTTCTTTAACCAAGCACAGATCAATATACTCCGACAAGGGGGCTGACACCGAACCTATCCCTGAAAAGATAGGCCTTCCCTGTGTTTTTGTTTCATGCTTATGGATCTTGGGCAGAAAATAATACACAGGTATCCTAGGGTATGTCACCACTAAGTAATCGTATTCTGTTTTGGAGATAACCTCCATCGATAAACCCCTGCCCAAGAAATCCAAAAATATGTCCTTTTTTTTCTTTAGTGGGGTTTAATTATGATCTCTGTATTGTCTCGCATTTCGACCAGAGCTTGTTGTTCCTACTTATTAAGGTTCATTCTATTCCTAT